ATGCGTGCATTTATCTTCATTAGATTTTAATTAGAATGTACCATCACGCTAAACTCAATCCTGAGGATGATAATCACCTGGGATATGGATGTGGTTTGACTTCTGCATATTCCAGAAGGATTATTAGAAGTGAGCAGATATGACGACAAACTAGATTCAAACTTTTAGATCTTCTTTGTTTTGAGGATTTGTGTACACACACTTTACCTCGTTGAACTCTTTGGTTAGTGTGCCGATTATCTCGGCATTCTGCATGCTGTCGAACATCTCTCTGCTAACCACGCCTGGACAGAAGCAGGAAACATAAACATTTAAGTGAAATAAACATCTGATCAGAGTTCAGTTTTATAACATAATCTGATTTCATTTCATTCTGACAGATATTGATACTGTGTGCTGTCGATAGATAGGCGATTGTTACCACACTGGCAGATCAATAGTTAACTGATCACTGCCCAAGCTCAAATTGGAAAGATAATCTCTTGAACTTTGCCTCCCACCCCTCAACTCGTTGGCTCTCTGTTGATCTCTGACCTTTGCATCCGCAGGAGCGAACAATGAAGTTGATGAGCACCAGCAGCCCCTCCTCTCTGCTTTGCTTGTAGCTGTCCAGCCACTCGTCTACCACCGTCTTAACATGACAAGGAGAGGGCAGCCAATGAGAATGCTCGGCTCAGATCAGAGGGAAGATGGTTATGACAACAACAAAGCATTAGAACAACATTATTGATCGTGGTTTTTACGTTTCTTCCATTATCCGTCACTTTATGTTTCACTTATTTGGATCTGTTGCTCATTGCTCACATTTTCTGCCCATTTTTATTTGTAGTTTTATTCAACATCGTTTTTGCATAATCATGTTTAGCAAGTATGAATCCCTTCAAATAAAGTGACACTGCTCTAGAACAGCTATCATGTTGTTAGTAAGACTGTAGGTTAACTTAAATTGTTGGAACATTTGTGCAGCAGAGAATAAAATCTGTGAAAAGCAGTTTGTTGGATTCGCTGAATGTGCTCCATGAAAGTGGGCCTTCACCCAGAATCACCATCTGTGTTGTGCTGCTGCTCTCCACTGTAGTGACAGACCCTTTTTATTACGGCTCATCATACTGTTTTTGTCTTCCTTCCTTTTGTTATGTGTTCCTTCTTTTCTCGTCTTTAACTAGAGGAGACTGGGCCCAGAATAACAAAGGTTGGGATGGACACATGCTGTCAATCATTGACCACACAACCTAGGTAAAAAAAACACTTTCCCCTTATTCCCGTATCAAAGGCAATTCTGTAGAGTCGCATCAGTCAGCCAGTGACAGCAGATGATAATCTCTCTCATTGTCAGCTCTTAAAGCCTTTTTTCTTTGCTCATTACATATGCCTCCTTCACCACCTCCCTTCCCTTCATGTTGTCCTCTGTACCCCCTTCCCCCTTGCTCTTTAGCCTGGGTTCGCTCACCACCATGGCACTTTTTCCAGAGTAGACAGCATCATAGATATCCTCTGCACTGATGTTCTCCTCGTTCACTCTCCCCACAGGTCTAGGAGAGGCCCGCCTGGATGTCCCCCGGGAGTGCTGTTGCTGCAGTAGGGAGGGGTTTGGAGGAGAGGGGCTGGACGACACCCTCGATGCAGCTTTCCGCCTGGGTCTCTTGGGTGGCTTGAGATGAAAGAAAAATGGGAGGGCAGCTTAGCAGGGGGTCTTAAGTGAATTGATGTTGTCAGCTGCATTAGTGGTAGCCATGGCGAGATGAGGCATACGGTTGAATCAGTGTTATTATGAAACCAATTAAGAATTCTCTATGTTTTATAAGAACCGAGCCCTGATACTTATCCTCTGAATGATCTGAATGAGAGATAAATATTCTGAGAGAATAAAATAATTCACCTGAGGACCAGGCACGGCCGGTTTTCTCCTCTTCGTAGATTTCATCATGGCCTCATAGTCACTTCCAGAATCAGAGAAGTCATCCAACTCCTCCAGACTAACAGAGAAGTAGGAAAACCACATGAAGACAAATTTAAGTATCGATTAATCACTTTTAACGAAATGCTTACACGACCAAACAGCTCCGCAGGTATGGGGAAAAACGGATGCTTTAAGCACAGGAGAAGCTAATTGCACTTTGTGACCAATTCATAGCTTTCAGTCATGGTGGCTTAGAGGGCCAAAAGAGCGTATGAAAGTGGCGTCCACCATTGAACACAATGTGGAGCTGCATCACATTCAACTACAATTGTCTTTAGTTTAAAAAACAACTGGCAGTTGGCTATTGCGACTGATAACTACCCCCTATCCTGCAGCAGTAGGAAGCCTCTCCTGTTTCCACAAGTGTGTGAATTCACCTGAAAGCTATGAATAGTCAGATAGTTAGCAATACAATTTGTATTTATTTATTTTATGGTTACCATTATAACGCTCTCTTTCACACAGTTCCAGTGTTAATCTTCACACCATTTTCTAATTTAGTCATAGTCTCCTAACGAAAATGTCTTTTACATTTAGTCATTTGTTATGAATGACGAAAATAGAAGACATTTTAGTCAACAAAATCTGACACGAGCTTTTATTTTTATTATCAGAAGCTCCAGGGGGCGGGGCTTCACGGACCTGCAGGCCAGAGGCTCCAGGGCGGGGCTTCACGGACCTGCAGGCCAGAGGCTCCAGGGGGCGGGGCTTCACGGACCTGCAGGCCAGAGGCTCCAGGGGGCGGGGCTTCACGGACCTGCAGGCCAGAGGCTCCGGGGGCGGGGCTTCACGGACCTGCAGGCCAGAGGCTCCAGGGGGCGGGGCTTCACGGACCTGCAGGCCAGAGGCTCCAGGGGGCGGGGCTTCACGGACCTGCAGGCCAGAGGCTCCAGGGGGCGGGGCTTCACGGACCTGCAGGCCAGAGGCTCCGGGGGCGGGGCTTCACGGACCTGCAGGCCAGAGGCTCCAGGGGGCGGGGCTTCACGGACCTGCAGGCCAGAGGCTCCAGGGGGCGGGGCTTCACGGACCTGCAGGCTCCAGGCTGCACACAGTTGCACTCACCGCACACCTTTGACGTCTGCTCTGGTTTACAGTGATTTTAGAACAGCTGAGTGGGGCCGTGATAATCATCACTTGTGATGTAGTTTTCGTTTCGTCACATTTTCATCAATTAGATGATGAAGTAATATTATTTATCAGTTTCGTCTCTTCATCGTCATAGTTTACTAATTTAAAAGACCTTCAACGAATATTTTCGTCATTTATTTCGTTGACGAGATTAACACTGGACGGTTCGGACTGTAAATTAGTAATTATATTTCTCTGATATTCATCCACACATGCTGGGTTAATAAAACTCTAAAGTTACCTTTCCAATATGGCGTCGACGTCATCCATATCCGGAGCACAGACCTTCCTACGGAGCGGGAGAGGAGACAACACCTTGCCGAGTCAATGTCTTTAATAGCTCTTAAAAGTATGCAAACGTACACTAATGGATGTTAAGCCAACTAATTACGATTTTAAACAACATATTAAATGAACGGGATTACTTTGTGGTTCGCAAATCTTGTTCTCGAAATTTAGCTAACTTTATCTTTTAGACAAGTAGCCAGCTAACTTATAATGCGAAAAATAATCAGTACACATAATCCGTTTACTAATAATTACACAATTTAGTTACCTGAAATGCAGCTTTTGGTCAGTATGTCGCTTTCTTAACGGCTTTTCTTCTATGCGCACTGATGATGCGCACTGACGACATTAGAAGGGCGCGAAAAATGTCTCGCGCTGGATAGCAGCAGCTCTTCAGGTCGACAGATGATTGGTTCTTTTTTAGGTTCGCTTGATGTTAATTGGTCAACATCGTGTAACGGTCATGTTGCTATGGGGGCAGGGCAGAATCATTTAGCTTTTTTTAGAAAACTTTATTAATACATTTACATTCAGTTCATAGATGTAACTTGTAAGTACAAGGAGACATCCAACTAACTGTCCATAAAAATAGAGTTACAGATATATCAAAACAAAATGATGAATTCAGCTCAATCTGATCACAGTATGCACTTGTTTGTCCAGTTTGATGGATAAAGATTGAATAAACACGGCGCTAATAAGTTAGCTAATGTTTATTTTATGATGGTATGATGCTGATCCCTGTTCAGAAAAGTAATAATTTATAAATTTACCTCACTTGACATCAGTTTCGGGCTCCAAACAGCTAGTTTTGTCTTACTTTATTATGAAAACTCCACTTCTACAGTGTTTCTGAACATACCTGGGTAACCTGAGTGTCTATGAAATAAACCCATCGAGTCCTTTGTTTGTGGTCTGCATAAGTCTTAAGCTGAGTACACACCAAACGCAAATGTAATCTGACGCGCTACAAAAGTACATCGAAAGTCAATGGGACGAAATAGACGTGAAATGACCGCGAGGGATGCCAAATGTCAGAGCGTGAAGTCGCGATGGACACAAATTTCGTGTCCATCGCGGCTTCACGCAAGTTCAAAACATTCAGCTTCAGCAGCAAATTCGCTTGATGCCTTGACGCGACAGCCAATCATCATTGACAAAAGATGACAAGGCTGACGTCAGGAATGCAGGAGAAACTTCTGGAGCTGCACAATCTGAGCGGCTGTAATCGCAGTTCCTGAAGAAAACAGTGATATTCACAGAGCTGCTCCAAAGGAAGCTGTAAACACAGATGATGGTGTTTGAATCGACAACTTGTCTGACTTCGGTCAACAAGTAAAAGGCAGCGATAACAGTATCCACTGTGGCTGATTACAGGAGAAGGCGCAAACAAACATTGGTATCTAGGTGACAAGCCCCTCCCCCTCAGCTTGTCGCTTCAGGGTCAGATGGGCGAAAATTCGCTTCAATAAATATGATCAACGCGATGACATTCGCGCGATCACGCAACGCGAATATTATTTTTGCGCTTGGTGTGTACACAGCTTTACAACACAGAGGAAACCGCTCTGTTACACATGTGCTCTCCTTGTGATGTCACAGTGGGATTCTGGTAAAAATAAATCTTAAAAAAAAAGAATCCCCTCCCCTGGTATCTCCACCCATGGACTCCACCTCCAGCCTAGAACAAAACTTTAATGCAGTTCGGCCATTTTTATTCTCTCTACAGAGGAGTGATGTCTACGGGGAAAACTCAGGGGGTGGGGCTTATTGCATTTAAAGAGACACACACACCAAAACGGAGCATTCTGAGAGAGCTGGTTTCTACAGGGTCACAAACCTCCTCTGGTGCTTGATTCATGTTATATTTTGACCAAAGCACAGCACAGATGTTTCATTTAGACCACAGGGGGACTGTTTGAAAAGGTGGAGGAGGGGACTGTTTGAAAAGGTGGAGGAGGGGGACTGTTTGAAAAGGTGGGGGAGGAGGACTGTTTGAAAAGGTGGGGGAGGGGACTGTTTGAAAAGGTGGAGGAGGGGACTGTTTGAAAAGGTGGAGGAGGGGACTGTTTGAAAAGGTGGGGGAGGGGACTGTGAAAAGGTGGAGGAGGGGACTGTGAAAAGGTGGAGGAGGACTGTTTGAAAAGGTGGAGGAGGAGGACTGTTTGAAAAGGTGGAGGAGGGACTGTGAAAAGGTGGAGGAGGACTGTTTGAAAAGGTGGAGGAGGGGACTGTGAAAAGGTGGAGGAGGACTGTTTGAAAAGGTGGAGGAGGGGACTGTTTGAAAAGGTGGAGGAGGACTGTTTGAAAAGGTGGAGGAGGACTGTTTGAAAAGGTGGAGGAGGACTGTTTGAAAAGGTGGAGGAGGGGACCGTTTGAAAAGGTGGCGGAGGGGACTGTTTGAAAAGGTGGAGAAGGAGGACTGTTTGAAAAGGTGGAGGAGGACTGTTTGAAAAGGTGGAGGGAGGACTGTTTGAAAAGGTGGAGAGGGGACTGTTTGAAAAGGTGGAGGAGGACTGTTTGAAAAGGTGGCGGAGGGGACTGTTTGAAAAGGTGGAGGAGGACTGTTTGAAAAGGTGGCGGAGGGGACTGTTTGAAAAGGTGGAGAAGGAGGACTGTTTGAAAAGGTGGAGGAGGGGACTGTTTGAAAAGGTGGAGGAGGGGACTGTTTGAAAAGGTGGAGAGGGGACTGTTTGAAAAGGTGGAGAAGGGGACTGTTTGAAAAGGTGGCGGAGGGGACTGTTTGAAAAGGTGGAGAAGGAGGACTGTTTGAAAAGGTGGAGGAGGACTGTTTGAAAAGGTGGAGAAGGAGGACTGTTTGAAAAGGTGGAGAAGGGGGGGTGTTTGAAAAGGTGGAGGAGGACTGTTTGAAAAGGTGGCGGAGGGGACTGTTTGAAAAGGTGGAGGAGGACTGTTTGAAAAGGTGGAGGAGGGGACTGTTTGAAAAGGTGGAGAAGGAGGACTGTTTGAAAAGGTGGAGAAGGAGGACTGTTTGAAAAGGTGGAGGAGGGGACTGTTTGAAAAGGTGGAGAAGGAGGACTGTTTGAAAAGGTGGAGGAGGGGACTGTTTGAAAAGGTGGAGAAGGAGGACTGTTTGAAAAGGTGGAGGAGGGGACTGTTTGAAAAGGTGGAGAAGGAGGACTGTTTGAAAAGGTGGAGGAGGAGGACTGTTTGAAAAGGTGGAGGAGGACTGTTTGAAAAGGTGGAGGAGGGGACTGTTTGAAAAGGTGGAGGAGGACTGTTTGAAAAGGTGGAGGAGGGGACTGTTTGAAAAGGTGGAGGAGGGACTGTTTGAAAAGGTGGGGAGGGGACTGTTTGAAAAGGTGGAGGAGGGGACTGTTTGAAAAGGTGGAGGAGGACTGTTTGAAAAGGTGGAGGAGGACTGTTTGAAAAGGTGGAGGGAGGACTGTTTGAAAAGGTGGAGGAGGACTGTTTGAAAAGGTGGAGAAGGAGGACTGTTTGAAAAGGTGGAGGAGGGGACTGTTTGAAAAGGTGGAGGAGGGGACTGTTTGAAAAGGTGGAGGAGGAGGACTGTTTGAAAAGGTGGAGGAGGAGGACTGTTTGAAAAGGTGGAGGAGGGGACTGTTTGAAAAGGTGGAGGAGGGGACTCTTTGAAAAGGTGGAGGAGGAGGACTGTTTGAAAAGGTGGAGGAGGAGGACTGTTTGAAAAGGTGGAGAAGGAGGACTGTTTGAAAAGGTGGAGGAGGGACTGTTTGAAAAGGTGGAGAAGGAGGACTGTTTGAAAAGGTGGAGGAGGGGACTGTTTGAAAAGGTGGAGGAGGAGGACTGTTTGAAAAGGTGGAGGAGGGGATCATATGTCCTCTTTAAGGCCTTTAAATCCGTTAAAACGTCTTTTCCATTTATCGCCATTAATTTTAGACGGAGTGGCTTCACCGAGAAGGGGGCGGGGCCAGAGTTGTTTGGGCAAAGTACCCGGATGGGTTGCTCTCAGACTGTTGATATTATTATAGCTCTCATCAATGTGTGAGTTTAAGTAATGAATTTAACGATTGATGAATATCTAAGAAAACACCTCTAAACTTTTTGCAGTAGGCCTAGTTGATCGTCCCTCTTTTTTGAATCCCTCTTCCTTTATTTACAGACATTTGTATCCGTGACACCTTGTTAAAAAAAAGAAAAAAGAAGTCCACTCTGGGTCGTTCTGTCCAGGTTTTGGGACCCTGAGGTGGTGTTGGTGGGCTCAGCTGCTCCCCGCCCCTCCACCACAGGTTCCTCACCCTTTCCTCCTCCCCTGTTGGTCCCAGTTGGTTCATTGTTCTGTTTGATGATAGGCTGTTATGACCAGAATCAATGCAACCAGAGTTAAACACACAACTTCCGGTGTCAACCTTCAAAATAAAGCATTTGTTAGGTCTACTTAACACATTTGGGCTGAAAAAAATATGCCCCCTAGTTTCTAAACTCAGCTGTCAAAAATGATTATTTCAGCAGCATCTTCTAAAAAAGGATTGGTTTACAAAACTTTGTAAAAAAAAAAATGTTAAAATGTCTGAGGTTCTTCAAACATGGTGTTTTGAGACTTACAATTGGAAAATCTGTGCCATGGAGAAACTAATATATTGGAATAAACCATTTTACAATAGCTGTTAACTTGTCACTAGAGCTATCATGGCCCTTTCTTTTAGCTATAGTTTTTTGGGCGATATTTGCCTTCATTGGTTAGGACCTACAGTCTATGGGTATGACAGCTGGAGAGAGACAGGAAATGTTCCTGAGGGGAGAGTGGACGATGACATGCAACAAATGGCCGAGGATGGATTCAAACCCACGGCTGCCGCGACAAGGACTGTAGCCCCCGCTCTTGGGGTTTAACTGCAAGGCCATTCGAGACTCCTTATCTGTCTCTTTTTCCAATATTAAATCAGGGTTTGATGAAGGCTGATTCTGACACTGGGTGGTTTCAAAGAAATTATCCTAAGCAGTTACAACAGCAGGAAGCCTAGGAATAGAAATTTGATAGCAAAGTCTAGGCCATCCCTACGGTGGCCCTGAAGGTCAGCTGCACAAATATATCATTGCACCTGTCGCCAAAGCATTTCACTAAATGCAAAAATAAGTTCACGAAACACGAAAACATTCACTTTCTGCAAAAATATTCAATCTTCTGCAGATTATTTAATTATCTAAAAAAAGAAAAAGTCTGCAAAAATGTTAAAAGCCAAAGTTAGCCAACCAAAGAAATGGAAGGATGTGATTTTTGTTAAATTAGGTTTTTAGTGTGTTTGCATGTTGCTTAAAACATGATGAACACAAGGTGTTATTTATCCCACATTACTCTGCACTCAAACTCTGAGTTTCTTCTTTGAAGGAAAATGCTTCCTAAACAAACGTTGCTCTGCTTTTATTTTGAAACTGTGCACTTCCCCGGTGTAACGCTGCTAACTCACGTGATATTGACGCTGCTGGGTGAGGAGGGTCGGGAGCACCCCATTCATTCACACTCCCTTCACATCTCCGACCAGTAGCAGTGGATCTCCCTGGGAGGACAAATGAAGTGGACCCGGTGGATGGAAACATATGTGTGATGAGAACAAACATCCCGGATGCATCTGTTCACTGCACTCATCATCAGGGGAAAGCGATGAGTGATTTAACCCACTGACGTTTGGGATACTCTTTACTCTTTTGACTTTTGCTTGCATCTAAACCGGCCAGTCATTCATTTATTTATAGAGGTGCTGCACCCTCAGTCTGGTTTCTTACCCCCCCTCCCCACCCCCCGCCCGCCCGCCCTGCTGTCTGAGTCCCGCGGTGCAGGATGGATACCCGGCTATGCCTCTCCAGGTACCCGCTGCTGGTGCTGCTCTGCGCGGCGTGTGCACTGTCGGGGACCCGGAGCCCCGTGGCTTCAGCGGGGAGGAGCTGCGCCGACACCCGGCAGGTGTACTCAGAGAAGGGGTACAGCACAGGGACTGCGCCGATGACTCAAATCTCCGGTAAGACTCTGCACCGAGGTCGCAGTGGGACGAATTAGAACACGAAGCAGCTCTCCAGTCCTATCTTAATCTATAATATGTAGTTTTTAACAAAAACCTTTGAGTAAAATGTAAAAGCATGATGTACATGAAGTCCTCCGTACACTGGCTGCTCACCACTGTAAATCCAAAGAGGAACTTAAGCAGAATAAAAATAACAACCTTTTCACAAGATCCAAAAAGATGCAAGGTGGCTCTAAAGTCCCCCATCAGCACCTGGGACACAATGTCAGATATCATGGTGAGTTTCCCCTCAAGAGAAATAAGGCAGCAGGGTGGTTTAAAACAAATGAAACCCACCCCCTCCTCCCCTCTGTGCTGTTTAAATAGGATGATTAAGGGGATGAGCAAATTGCCAACACTAGTGCAACAAAGAACCTCGCCCCTAATTAGTCTTTGCCTGCTGCCCCACTGTGAAATCCCTGCACCCATAGGCTCTGCTCACCGGTCATCATCTTATCTGCACGATTCAAATATGTGCAAATCAGACTGTAAAGTTTTGTTCAGCTGGGGACATCACAAGTGGGAGTTTAAATGTGAGGGAGAAAATTCTGTAGCAATTTAAGGTCTGAAAATGTTTCCCACTTTGCAGAGGTTCAGCTTTGCATGTAAAGCAGTTAGTGTGTGTGTGTGTGTGTGTGTGTGTGTGTGTGTGTGTGTGTGTGTGTGTGTGTGTGTGTGTGTGTGTGTGTGTGTGTGTGTGTGTGTGTGTGTGTGTGTGTGTGTGTGTGTGTGTGTGTGTGTGTGTGTGTGTGTGTGTGTGTGTGTGTGTGAGAGCACCAGATACATCTGCAGCTTTGTCTGCATACTGTCTAAAATATAAGTGCAAAATCACAGAGCTTGCAGATTTGTGAGGATTATTTTGGGGCAGTTCTGCTCTGTGTGGGTCCCAACTGCAGTATTGATTGTGTGTGTGTGTGTGTGTGTGTGTGTGTGTGTGTGTGTGTGTGTGTGTGTGTGTGTGTGTGTGTGTGTGTGTGTGTGTGTGTGTGTGTGTGTGTGTGTGTGTGTGTGTGTGTGTGTGTGTGTGTGACTGAGTCTTGGCTCACTGTCCCGTGGGCCAGGGGAGCAGATGGCCGGGAGAGTGAAGGATGAAGAGAGGCAGTTTAGAAATGGAAATAGAGGGATGAGAGAGGGCTGATATAGTGAGACACACAGCGAGAACAAAAGGAGGCGAAAAAGAGACGAACATGAGCGAGGGTGGAGTTGGGAATGACTCTGTCCCTCTTCAATTCACAGTGGATCTAAAATGACAGAAACTAAGATTTGAACCCCTGTTCCTCGTTCAGCGTGCGGCTGCTGCTCTGTGTGTTTTCTTTTTGTCTTCCTCCCCTCGTTGTCGTTTGCATATCATTACCTCTGTGACATATCAAAGAGCCAACCTGAGCTGACAAAGAAAGACAGATTGAAGCTGAATAATTCATGCAGGGAAATTACAATTCGTCTATCTATCGCACCTTTTATCTTTGATAAGATTTCCTGCACAGGGAGAGAGCGTGTGTGTGTGTGTGTGTGTGTGTGTGTGTGTGTGTGTGTGTGTGTGTGTGTGTGTGTGTGTGTGTGTGTGTGTGTGTGTGTGTGTGTGTGTGTGTGTGTGTGTGTGTGTGTGTGTGTGTGTGTGTGTGTGTGTGTGTGTGTGTGAGAAACGGGGGAGAGAGAGACTGTGGAATGGCATGCGGGAAAGGAGCCGTTGGCCGGATTTGAACCGGGCCCCCTGCTTACAGGACCACAGACTCCATACATGGAGCGGGTACTAACCACTACGTTACCGGTGTCCCTGTGATATTTCCCTGTTGATGTGATTTCTACACTTCCGTTTCCAAACATGTTTGATTTAACCATTCTGCCTCCGCCTGTTTTTTTTTTTTTGTATCTTCCAGGTGAGCACCTGCGGCTCTGCCCTCAGGACTACACCTGCTGCTCCAGTCAGATGGAGGAGACGCTGGCCCTCCAGAGCGAGAGGGACTTCCTCAAAGCGGTCGAGGAAAACAGCCAGTTCCTCCTGACTACCTTTACCCAGAGACACCGCAGGTTTGATGGTGAGAGGTCCTGAGTTATCAGTCATGTTTTCTGTAATAATGAAAATAACAAAAGCATCTCTCTTGAAGCCTGATCGGGACATTTGAAGCAGCCGTACAACACTCGGTTTCTCCTGGTCTCACCCTTCCCATCTACCCACTTTGAGTGACAGCTGATTAAAAAATCTATTTAGGATCCGCCTGCACAGTTCCTCTCAGACGGTCCGGTATCCGAGACATAAAATTGACATTGGCAGCTGAAAGCAGCGATGCGTACACATTGCAGAGCTCCTTGCAGGATTTTATTTATTTTTAATCAACTCTACTCTCGTCTACTCCTGTAATTTGGAGCTTATATAAAGTTATTGAACGCATAATTGATAGATCAGGTCACATCTGAAGCAGCACAGGTTGAGTTATCCTGAGTCTTAGTTCTTAAAGGTGACATATCCTCCTCCTCCTCTTCTTCAGTGTAAATAAGTCTCAGAGCTCCTCTTCAACATGTGTGTGAAGTTTCTTGTTCTAAATCCACTCTGATCCTGTATTTGATCATGTCTATAAACCCCTCTATTTCAGCCCTGCTCAGAACAGGCTGTTTTTGTGTCTGTACCTTTAAATATGTAAATGAGCTGTGTCTGACCACGCCCCCTTTCTGGAAGGGCTCGGGTGTACTCGAGCTTTCTCGCTCCATGTCCTATTGTTTACGGTGAGAAGGCAGACTCAGAGGGCAGAACAAACACCTAGCTGTGGGAGTGTCACCCACCTGGGGGAAGGGCTACTGCCCTTTGTGATGTCATGAAGGGAAAATCTCCAAACGGCCTGTTTGAGCACACATTTTCTGAAAAGTGGAGCAGGCAGAAGACGGAGAGGATGGATTTTTCTCATCAATGGAGGGTTTGTAGACGGACTAGAGACACATGTTAGAGTTAGAGGAACATGGAGAAGAGGATTAAAACTAAATGGAGGAGAGAGCGAGCATGCCTGATGAGATCCTCTAGAAATGTGAATATATGTTAACACCATTTCACCTAGCTTGGAATAGCTGACACCTCAATATTAGTTAATTCATCACACACAATATGAAATAATGTTGGGTTTCTCTCTTCGCCGTTTTTGTCTGACATGTTTTTACTTTTCTCGACACCAAGCCTCGCTGAAGTAACCTGCTGACATCATTATGACATCATCAGTGTAGTGATCTTAGACTTAAATCAAAGTCTTTACGGCGTCTCAACACGGCCAAAGAACGTACCTCTTTAAATGAGGTGTAATGCCCCTTTAATCAAAGGTTTCAGTGTAAGGAAATGTACCTCCATCTTTAGTGACTGTATTTCGGAGGATTCAGCCCACGCTGTCTCACAGTTTGCATGTATGGCTGCAGGTCTGTAGCGGCCACAGCTTAGATTTGACACTTTCTCCTTCTACCTGCTGTGGACTGCTATCACCTTTTTTTCCCCTCCTCATCCTTTTATATAATGTCGGCGATGAATCATTTAAACACGTCGAAGGAGTGGGAGACTGCATATGAGTCCTGAAGACCTAAATAGGGTACATGTTGTTACGCTCGTTTACCAGCATGCAGGATCTGATGTAACTGTCCCTATGAGCTGTTAATCTTGGACGGGAGGGGGCCGACTGAGCGCCCACACATGTGGAAAACCGGCCAAGATATTAGAGGAAAAAAGGAGGTGGGTGACAGATTCATATCTTATATCTTATCCCTGTTTTTGCCATCCCTCTGCAGAGTTCTTCAGGGAGCTGATAGACTTGTCAGAGAAGTCCATGAACCAGATGTTTACCAAGACCTACGGCCGGCTTTTTACCCAGAATGCACACGTCTTCCAGGAGCTGTTTGTGGAGCTGAGGAGATACTATTCAGGTTTGTGCACCTCACTCTGTCATTGAATTAATTTTCAAAGTGATACCAATTTGACTTAGAAAATAAAAAGGCATCCATTCTCTTAAAGGAGCAGTATGTAACCCCCTAGTGTTTAAAACAGGTACTGCAGTCTAAATTCTAAACATCATAGAGAGCTGTCTCCCCCCCCCTCTCTAGAGTGGATGCTCACTCAGGTCACCATGTGGTGGACTCTGAAGCTTCAGTGTTTATCCAGCTCTGCATGGGTCTGTAAACCTTTCTGTGTTCTAACCTCTCTCCATTTTTCAAAAGCATCTCCAATATTGATCCTAGTTTGAGCACGTTTCTGCTCGTGGAGCTTATTAGAAACATGCAGAGGCTTTTTAGGTCGGGTACAATCACTTCTATCTGAACCACTTCTCTTGACCGCTTCCATCGCTGCAACACCTGTTGACCTGATAACTGCTCTCATATCTGACAAACCGAGGGGCGTCCAAAACGGCCGTGTGGGGGCGTGTCTTAAAAGCGCCTACCTTCTCTGGTCCAAACAAATCCAGAGCATTCAGGAGCAGAATCTAAAGTTAGAAGGAGGACATACTGGCTGCTGCATTGTTGTCAGAGAAGCCAGCACTTCAACATAGCATGTTTCCTTAATGATCAGATAGTAAGATACCTTTATCATCTCACTCTCTACACAGCTCACTGACTGGACCTTTAAAATAGAATGCATTCAGACACATGTAAGAAGAGTTATTGTTATTGTTAAAGGACTGAGGTACTTCCTCTTTGCAGTTGGTGGTTTGGTGGAGTTTAATGAGAACAGCAGAAAAGAGGCAGAATTGACTTCTGAGGAGAATTGAAATGCCAGGAAGATAATGCAGAAAAAATGAAAGATTTGGAAATCCCACAGCTGACTGTTTCTATTTCTGTTCCTCATCGCTCTGTTCTGGCATGACAGCCACTCGCTGGCGAGTCTATCCGCAGGCTGTCGCTGCTTAGTCAGCCTGACTGTATCTACTCATTTTGAGGCTGTATAGTAGACTGCAGAATGGGAGAGGTGTGTAATCTTCCAGTTGACTAACGCAGGAGTTCCCAAACTTCTCAGCTCGTGACCTCCAAAATAAATATTTCTCTTTACATTGTAGATGCTCTCTTGTTAGTACGCTGTTGTAAATAAATACTGTGCACACATATCTCATAAGACATGTTCTAAGGAAAGAAAACGGTCCATAAAATTTGCATTTACTGTGCAAATTCATGCACACACTTTCTAACATGCAAACTACTCACTAGCATCATTAGGGTACTGAAACATTACCAGTAAATGTATTTTTGCAAATTAGACGATTGCATGCAATTTTCTAAGTACTTTAAATTTTGAATTTGGACATCTTTTGGTCTTTCGCTGTTTATCTCCCTCCTTCCCTCTATGCTCAGCCAATGAAAGGCGTCTGATCCAACCATCACAACAGGGTCCTAAGTCTCTGACTAGACTTGCTCCTCTGTTGCCCCCCGGTGGTGGAACGAACTTCCAAACTCCTTTCGCTCTGCAGAGTCCCTTATTTGAACTCTGTTGATGTTGTTGTCAATGACGATGTATTTACTTTAATTATTAAACTGCCTCTAGTCACTTCCTGTCAGCACCTCTAGTCACTTCCTGTCAGCACCTCTGGTCACTTCCTGTCGGTTCCCCAGGTGAGGAAGAAGTCTGGACATGGCCCCTAGTCCCAATTTAAAGCAGCTTTTTTTAAA